TGAGCAACAAGTCTAGCCTTGTTTCTCACTATATTACCACTTTCATCAAGCTTATTCCTAAATACCCATGTAGTACCTATAATAGATTTATTACTAAGACTTTCAACTAATGTGCATACTTTGCTTCTCTCAAACTGATTTAATTATTCTTGCAAAGCCATAGTCCAATTTTCATCATTTAATGCTTATTAGATATTCTTAGGCTCTATGCATGAGATAAATACAACATAATTACATACGTTCCTAAGAGAAGATCAAGTAGTTACCCCTTTGGATGGATCACCTATAATTTCACCATCCTTGACATAGTTGTACTCTCTTGGGTAAGTCACTTCCCTTTCTTCAATGGTTGGATTCTCGAGAGCATCGTGAGTTTCCTCATCTTTCACTTATTCCTTTGATGATGGTTCTTCAACATCATGTCTAACGTCATGTGAGTTTACAATACCTACGACATCATCAACACAAGAATCCTTCCTTGGAAGGGGATTATCATCGAAAACAACATGTATAGACTCTTCTATCGCTAAAGTTCTTTAATTAAATACCCTATAAGCTTTAGAATTTAAGGATTATCCCATAACAATTCCTTCATCACTTTTAGCATCAAATTTGCCAAGATTATCTTTACCGTTGTTTAAAATAAAACATTTACATTCAAATGGATGAAAATAGCTAATGTTAGGCTTTTTATTTTTGAAAATTTCATATGGAGTTTTCTTTAAAATAGGCCTAATCATTACTCGATTAATAACATAACAAGTGGTATTTGTGGCTTTCGCCCAAAAATATTTTGACAATTTGTTTCCACAAAGCATGATTCTAGCCATTTCTATTAAAGTTCAATTTTTCCTCTCAACAACTCCATTTTGTTGAGGAGTTCTAGGTGATGAAAAATTATGGCTAATCCCATTTGAATTACAAAAATCATTAAATCCAAGATTTTCAAATTCAATGACATGATCACTCCTAACACTAGTTATGAGTAACCTTATTCGTTTTAGATTACTTTTGAGAATGTGATGAAATTTTCTAATGCTTCATCTTTAGTACTTAAGAATAAAACCCAAGTATATCTAGAATAGTCATCTACCAAGACAAATGCATATTGTTTTCCACCCAAGCTAGTAGTCCTAAATGGCCCAAAAAGATCTATATCGAACAATTGTAATACTCTACTAGTTGATACATCATTAATGGATTTAAAAGAAGTTCTTTTATGTTTTCCTTTAGCACATGCATCACATATTTTATCAATATCAAATTTTAGCTTTGGCAATCCTCTTATTAGATTTCCTTGAATTAGTCTTTGTAAAACACTCATGCTAGTATATCATAGTCTCCTATGCCATAACCAACTATCATGTTCATCATTAGCAACTAGGCATAAGTTAGTCATATTAATGGAATCAAAATGCACCATGTATATGTTTTCTATTCTATGACCAACAAGCATAATCCGATTAGATGCAATGTCAATGACTTTACAACCATAGTTTCAAACAAGACATTGTATCCTTTATCGATAATTGACTAATACTCAATAGATTATGCTTTAACCCATTCATATATAGAACTTTTTCTATTTTTATGGAAGAGGTATTACCTATAATACATATACCTTCAATGTAACCTTTGGAGTTATCACCAAAGGTTACCACTCCTCCATTTTTGTCGTTAAGCTCTATAAACCGGATCTTGTCTCCGGTCATGTGTCTCGAGCATTCACTATCAAGGAACCATGAATTTGAACTTGTATTTTGTGCCTTGTAGCAATGTTTCCTTTTACTACAAACATAGATTAATTTTTTTATTTTTGGTACTCAAATTCTTTTGGGTCCATATTCATTAGTCCCTAAAATTCTAGTCCCCTTGGGTATCCATTTGTGTAGGATATCCTTATCTTTAGTAGTAATGAGTTCTTTAGGGACCCATATACTTCTAATGATTTTACCATTAGAGGTTCTTCGGGGACCTCTATGATTTTAGTTTTTAAAATTCTTTCTAATATAGTTGGATTTTGAATTTTCTCATTTTTCAAAATGTTTTGGTCCAACTCTATTGAAAGAATCTTTTAGATCATCAAGTTCCTTTTGATGATCATCGTTGACTCTTGCAAGTAAATTATGCAAATCAGAATTTTTCTTTTCAAAATCTTCGATTTTAATTTGCAATTATTTAATTTTACTTTCAAGATCATTATTGGTCTTGGATATGAGATTATTTTCATTTTTCAACTTTGAAATATCCTTCTTGTATTTTGTAAATAATTTCTCATAATCCAATGCCAACCCATTATTTTCCTCTAATAACTCATCAAAAGAATAATCTTCTAAATCAAATGAGTTAGAGGTTACCTGAGAATCTTCTCCGGTGACCATTAAGCACAGGTTCACAACTTCTTGTTCCTCTTTATTGGGTGATTCGTCATCGCTCCAAGTAGCCATGTGTTCCTTGTGCTTCTTCTTTGATTGACCCTTCTTCTTTAATTGTGGGCAATCTTATTTGACATGCCTGGGCTTTTTGCATTCATAGCAAATGATTGGGTCCTTCTCCTTTGGTTCATTTTGAAGCCTTCATTTCGTTTGAATTTTCTTCCTCTGTTGGGCTTCATTAATTTTCTGAACCGTTTGGCAAATAATGCCATTTTCTCGTCATCGTCATCTTCATCAGAACCACTCTCATCTTTTGTAGATTTGAGAGCAACTCCAAAGTTCTTCCTTTTTTTTTCATCTCCTTCTTTGTCTCGTCCTTCTTTTCGAGGCCTACCTCTTGAATCATCATTTCATGAGTGAAGAGAGAACCAATTAGCTCATCGAGGGTTAAAAACTTTAAGTTTTTAGCCTTGATAATCAACGTCTTCTTCGATTGCCAAGCTTTTGGAAGAGAATAAATTATCTTCCTTAAAAGCTTCTCGTTTGTAATGATCTCTCAATATGATTTGAGACCATTGACAATCACGAAAAATCTATCTGTCATAGCTTTGATGTCTTCATCCTGTTTCATCATGAAATTTTCATAGTTATGAGTAAGAAGACTTATTTTAGATTTTTTACCTCGTTGGTGCCTTCATGAGTGACTTGTAGTTTATCCCATATCTCCTTGGCAGTTGTACAAGATGAAACTCTCCCGTATTCATCTGGTCCAAGAGCACAAAATAGAATATGGATAGCTTTTGAGTTAAGCTGGAACATTCCCATGTCTTCTTCACTCCACATATTTGGGTCTGTGGACGGTTCGGTGTATCCGTTCACCACGATTTTTCATGCTCCCATGTCACTAGCTTTAATGAAGTATCTCATTCTATTCTTCCAATAATCATAATTAGCTCCATTGAAGAAAGTAGGCTTGTTGACAAGCTGAGAATCAAGAACGAAGTCGAAGTTTGAAGTGGAGGCCATTGATGACTTGATTATTGATATTACTCTTCCCGAATCGACTCAAGAAGTGGTAAAACCTTCAAATGAGTGTGGCTTTGATACCAATTGTTGAGTTAATTGATCGACGTAATTACTAAGAGGGGGTGAATTGACAATAAAAATTTTGGTGGAAGCTTTGAAGAAAATTGAAAATATTTGCACATCGATTTAGAGTGGTTCGACTTTCTCAACCAAAGTCTACGTCCATTGCCTTAGCTATCCACACTAAGTATTTTCCACAAATTCACTAATTTGTCTTTCTTTTGAGTACAAAGAGTAACCTTACAACTCCCTCAAGAATTATACCCCAAATTCTTGAGAACAAACTCTCTCAAAGAGAAAAATTACAAATTCGCAAACTTACAGAAAAACCTCGCAAGGTAGATTGTTTGCACAATTCTTGAATAAAGAAAGAACACTCAAGAATGAATACAATTGAGCACAAATGGTTTTCTTGAAAGCAAAAATGAATATTGAATGGAAAATAGGCTTGAAATGCTCAAACAATAAGTTTAAGGATTTCTCTTTGATTCTCTCTCAATTCTTGTTTCTTTTTATTGATTAATGGCTCTGAGCTTGTTTAAATACACCTACGATCAATTCTAAACATTGGGATCATTGGTGAAGTCAATAGAGTCGATGTAGTATGTTTTCCATTTAAAAAATATGATGGGAGCGTAGGTGTATCGGTACACTATCAAAGTGTATCGGTACACTCAGTGTAAAATTCAAATATTTCAACCGTTAGTTCACCAAGTGTATCGATACATCCTAGGTGTATCCGTACACTAATTACATTCGATGTTTCTCGGAGCCTGGAGTGTATCGGTACATCAACTGTGTATCGGTACACTAATTACATTCGAAATATGGGGTGTATCGGTACATCCTTTTGTAAATATTATTTTTGCCTCGATTATGGTTCGAAATACCTTGTCAAAATTGTTTAAAAAGTATTTTAAGATTAAAACACAATTTTACACTTAAGAAAGGATTAAAATTGACATTTGAAAAACTTGGAGTAATATATTTGATATTCGAATAATTAAATCGAATATATAATTCAAAATTAAATATAAAATCTTAAAATTCAATAGTACTTTATTTGTTATATCGAAATATCAAAATGTTGTGAACATGATCTCTCGACTATATGACGTTGAGTCTCTCGACTATTAAAAGTTTCAAAATGGTAACCTAACTATCAATTATGTTCCAAACTCGTCCTTTTTCATTAAAAATTATCGGTCGTCTAAGCTGGGCGTTAACATGCTAACTGAGATATAATAGTCGTTAGAGATTATGAGATTATATTTTATCGTATCTCAGTCAACAGGTTAAAATCCAACTTAGACTACCGATAATTTTTTAATGAAAAAGAATGAGTCTGGAACATAATGAATAGTCGGGTGATCATTTTGTAACTTTTAATAGTCGAAGGACTCAACAAAGCAATGCCCTATAATCTAAAGACCATTTGCTAATTTTTAATAGTATGAGGACTCAATATAATAGTATTCTATAGTAAGGAGACCATTTGTGTACTTTACGCAAATTATTAACATTTTTATTTAGACATACATATTCCCTAACATTTCATGCAGTTTAATGATGGTTTCCTCCTCTTCCAAAGTGAAGTTTATCCATCGTAATCTGCAACTCTTCCCGCATCTTAGAAGACCTATAAAAACGAGTTGAATCAAAATCATCAAATAAACCCTAATAAAAGTGTTGCAAAACTCTTCCAAGAAAGCTAGTTTATGAATTAGGGGTTTAAATTATGGTTTAGGTTGTGTTACATTTATCATGATTACTAATATAATAGATACTATTATGATTATTGTGAGTATCGTAGTTGGACAATAACGGTCTCAGACGATACTGTTATCGTTATATAACAACCTCTATTCTAATAGCGGACTGTTATTTAAATCGCGGTTATGAACAACGGTGGAACACAATGGATACTAGTGGGGCCATGCCCCCAAAGTTTGAAAATTATACTTTATATCTTTAAATTTTAAAAATATTTAGTTGGTCCCCTATAAAATTTTTAGAAATTCATATTAGTCTTTAAATTTTTTTAATATTCTTAATTAAAGACCTCCCATAATTTTTAAAAGTTCTTTTTAAGCCTCTCAAAATTTCAAAAATTTTAGTTAGACCCAAATTTTTTTCTTTTGAAAAAAATGTAAACCAAACCTTTCAAAATATTTGAAAATTTTAATGTAAATTTCAATTTTTTAAAAAAGTTTTAAGTTGATCCTCCCAAACTCTTTCACCAAGTTTCATCACTCGTTATGAACTAAAGAAGAAAGGAAAGGAAAATAACCAGCTTGTTTGGGTAAGGCTGGCCAATTTTCATGGTCATGTTTTTGAATAAAAGTGAATAAAATGTGGTCTTCTTCGGGAGTCCATGGACCTTTTTTAGTTCGCATCGTATCACAGCAAGGAGCTCTCCCCATTTCTGTAGATTAACCTCTGCAACTCTTTGTTTCTTCAGTGAAGCCTTCAACTTAAGATTTCCTCGGCCTCTCGTTGTGGGATATTTATATTCACAGAATTGCTTGGAAAGGTCAATATTCAAACAATTAGAGGTGGGAAATTTCCAGGAAAAAGCATTGTTTTGCATGATATATTCTCTCTCACAGCAAAATTCCAAAAAAAAATGTGTGTACAGTATATATATATTATATTAGCAAAAGTTTCAACAATTACTTAATGTATAAAGTACATAAAATAAATAGTCTCCGACTATAAGATATTACTTTGCTAAGTCCCTAACTAGTAAAAGTTATAAAATGATCCCCCTACTATATAAAGTTACTTTGTTGAGTCCCTCGACTATTAAAAGTTACAAAATGGTCACTTTACTATTCATTATGTTTCAAACTTGTCATTTTCCGTTAAAAACTAATGATCGTTTGACATGGACGATAATATTCTGACTGAGATATGAAAGTTGTGTGAGAATATGATATCAGATTTTATCATATCTCAGTCAGTATGTTAACATCTAGCTCAATCTGTCGTTAATTTTTTAACAGAAAATGATGAGTTTGGAACATAATGAATAGTCGAGTAACCATTTTGTAACTTTTAATAGTCGAGAGACTCAACAAAACAACTTTCCATAGTTAAGGGATCATTTTGTAACTTTACCCTTACTTGATAGATTTCTCAATTTATCGTGTAATTGAAGAACGCAAGTGCATTCGTCTGGACAAAAGTTTCAGGTATATATCCAATAAACATGATTGTTTTTTAATTAAACAAGAATTAATCGGACGCCAGAATATGACGTTTTCTAAAAGGAAAAGAAAATGAAGCAGCCAATGTTAAAAAGTGAGCTTTGAAAATGACATTTCATTGTTGGGTTCTATATATTGTTTTCAACTATGCAAAGAGAGAGTACTTTGATGTTCACATGAATTGCTTTTGTTATTTAACGTTTTGAATAAAATTGGTCAATTTGAGAAAATTACAAAAACGACAGACTGTTTCTTAAAACGCACGTGGATTGATCCTTGAATAGTCTGAAATTGAGGACATGCTCATTGGGGACATCGTTTAGTTCTATGAGACTATGAAGTTTTGGATTTGTGAAAATAATTTCACCTGAACGTTAATGATGAGTTTGTAAAGGTAATATACGATACCTCCTTTTAATTTAAATGAATAGTCGCAATTTGTTATATTGTCGCCGAGTAAAAATTTCGAGAGAGGAAACAGAAAAAAGAAGAATAATTTGAATCGCTCCTCTTGTCTAGCTAGAGTTTATACAATTTGTTATATTGATGCCGAGTAAAAGTTTCGAGAGAGGAAAAAGAAAAAAAAGAAGAATTTGAATCTCTCCACTTGTCTTGCTAGGGTTTATACTTGACTTAATGTGTGTCTTGATGTCATACATAGGATCACGATTAATATCCATAAACTTCACAAAATTAAAAAAAAATGCGACATCTGATTAATTTGTTTTTATAAAAGTTTGAGGTCTCATTAAAAACTTCTCTTATACCTATCGATAAAGAAGAATCGATAGTAGCTGAAGGAAGAAAAGAGTACCTCATATATTTATTAATTCTATTAAGTTCTAATATAAACAATTAAACATAAGAGCAAATATAGCAAGTAAACTTAAAACAGAAAAACATGTGCACTAATTTAATCAATCCCACGCTTAGCCAAAGAATCCGCCAAAGTGTTCCCGCTTCGGCCAATCCAGCAAACAATCATTGATCTATCCATAACCAACGACGCGATATTATTCAACATGGAGCTAAAAGGAGCAAGATATTCGACCATAGCAACAATTCATTCCACCGCTCTTTTACAATAACTCACCAATATCAACCTATATTTACTGCTGAAACCGGAAGAGAAGAACATTTTTAAACCAAAATAAATTGCCTTCAATTCAGCTAGAATCGGGCGACCTCCAATTAACAGATTTGATTCTAATAAATCTCTTTGGTTAACTGATAATCTTGCCAAGAAGTGATAGTTGTTCGGAGGGTATGAAGCTTCGGATACTTTGGTTTGCGGAGTAATGCATCTGGAAGTTCCATTATGCGAGAGTCTCGTAACATGCAAAGGATTAACTCTGGAGGTACAAAACTTGTCTCCTTGTGTTGAAGAGTCAGGTAAAGAAAGCGAAAGAACACAAGAATTTAACGAGGTTCAGTAATGTGCTTACGTCCTCGGTGCCTAGGCGGCACTAGAAGTTTTATTCAATGTCACATAAGTTTAGGTTACATCTTATTTATAATAAATAAACCCTGGTATATCTTTACAAAAATAACCATGTACCGTACCGCAGGGCCTGCGCCCACACCCCCAACCCACATAATCGTAACCCCACTACGAGACTTTCTTTGTAAGGACAGACGATGTTCGCTGCATTTGCTTCGCTCACTCTGCTCCATCCTCTTTCCTCTTTACCGGTATATTTATAAGTCATACCTTACAAATCTCCACCTTGGCGAATATCTTGCCCCTTAGGAAACATTCAATGTGGGTTGGGTTACCTTACTTCTTTAACAACTCGAAACATTCAACAATTCCAAGCAATGCTTGAACTTGTCTGTCGTAACTGGCTTGGTGAACATATCAACAGCATTATCATCAGTATGTACCTTCTGAAACAAAATCTCTCCAGATGCAACCAACTCTTTGATCTTGTGAAACCTTACATCAATATGCTTAGTTCTAGCATGATATACCTGATTCTTAGCCAAGTGAATAGTACTTTGATTGTCGCAAAGCAACTGAACTCCACCTTGCTGAACACCCAACTCCTTCACTAAACCAGTAAGCCATAAAGCTTCTTTTGCAGCTTCAGCCGCTGCCATGTATTCAGCTTCAGTTGTAGATAGTTCCACAACAGATTGAACAGTAGACTTCCAACAAATAGGCCCTCCACCAAGAGTAAAGACCCTATCGTAGATCTTCTATTATCCAAGTCACCTGCATAGTCTGAATCCACATCTCCTAAAACCAAAGGATTATCCCCCTGACTACCAAAAACAATTTCATGTCCCATAATACCCTTTAAGTACTGAAAGATCCACTTGACTGCTTCCCAATGTTGCTTACCAGGTTTAGACATGTACTTACAAACTTGACTAACAACATGAGCTAAATCAGGACGAGTACATACCATTGCATACATCAAGCAGCGACCAACATTAGAATATGGAACCTTTTCCATATCTTCAGCTTCCTTATCTGTCTTAGGGCACTGTTATGATGAGAGCTTAAAATGATTCGCCAATGGAGTGCTAACTAGTTTTGCGCTGCTCATCGCAAACTTTTCTAGCATTTTCTCAACATAACCCCGTTTAGATAGCCACAGTTTCCTTGAGTCTCTGTCCCTGCAAATTTCCATTCTAAGAATTTTTTTTGCAGCACTTAAATCTTTCCTATCAAATTCCTGACTCAATAAAGTTTTCAAACTGATAACATCATCCATGTTCTTCGCAACAATTAACATATTATCAACATACAATAACAGAAAAATAAAAGAACCATCATCAAGGCTCTTAGCAAAGACACAAGAATCATACTCACATAACGTGTAGCCAATCTTGATCATATAGGAGTCAAACCTTTTGTATCATTATCTCGGAGACTGCTTCAACCCGTACAAAGATTTCTTCAATCTACAAACTAAATGCTCATTTCCATGTTGAGTGAAACCTTCAGGCTACCACATGTAGATCTGCTCCTCTAAATCATCATGCAAAAAAGCAGTTTTTACATCCATCTGCTCTAAATGCAAATCCCAACTAGCCACCAATGCAAGTACTATTCAGATTGAAGTGTGCTTGACCACATGAGAGAAATTTTCAACATAATCAACTCCTTTCTGCCGTGAAAAACCCTTTGCTACCAAACGAGCCTTGAACTTTCCCCCCTCTTTTTCTGTTACTGTTGGTTTCTTCTTATACACCCATTTGCAACCAATCGGCTTCTTACCCTCAGGAAGGCGTACTAACTCCCATATGCAATTGTGATTCAAAGACTCCATCTCCTCAACCATGACAGCCATCCACTTGTCGTTTTCCTGACTAGTAACAGTATCCTGAAAAGTAACCGGATCATCACTGCTAACAGTAAGTGCAAAAGAGACCAAGTCTTCAAAACCCAATCTGTTCGAAGGCTTTATATTCATCCGTCTCACCCTGTCTCTGGTGAGAATATAATCCTGCAAATCATCCGTAGCAGAACCACCAAAATTCAGTTGAGAAGTTTCTATTTTCTCAACTGGAAACTGCTCGAAATCTACCATTGTCGTGTCTTTCTTCTGTTGTAACATGGGTTGTTCATCAAAAACAACATCTCTACTTATCACAATTTTCTTCGCGACTAGATCCCAGAACTTGAATCCTTTGAAACCTTTCTTGTAACCCAGAAAAATGCACTCCTTCAATTTTGCATCAAGTTTGGATCTCTCATCAGCAGGTACATGCACATAAGCAGGACAACCAAAAATCTATAAGTAATCAAAAGTAACATCAAGACCAGTCCATACCTCTTCTGCAACTTTCCCAGCTAGTGATGCCCTTGGTGATCTATTGATAAGATAACACGCCATGTTAATAGCCTTAACCCAGAAGTGTTTGGGAAGCCCTGTATTCAACCGCAAACATCTGGCTCTTTCATTTAATGACTTGTTCATCCGTTTCGTAACACCATTCTGATGTGGTGTCTTACGCACTGTAAAATGCCTCTTAATCCCATGCTCCTTTTCAGAAGTGTAGAAACTGTTAATCTGTGTACTCCATACCATTTTCAAACCGCAAACACTTGATTTTTCATCCTGTTTGGTTTTCTACCTCTGCTTTCCACAGCTTGAACTTCTTAAAAACGTCAGACTTCTGTTTCAAAAAATACACCCAAACTTTCCGTGAAAAATCGTCAATAAAAGTAACATAATACCTAGATCCACCCAGAGACGATGCCA